TCACTCTGAGGTAAGAAGGATGGGGCAAGCAGCGAAGACAGAGCCAAGACCACTCAGGGGAAAGTGCTGCGATCCCAGAGGGTAAGGAAGAGTCACGGAGGCAGGATCTTCAGTGGAAGGGATGGACAGGAAGGGCCCGAATCAAAGACATTTAGGAAGAAGTTCTGAGAGCCTGGAGGAAAGGGAAGAGCCTCCCAGGTGTCTTGCTTTGGCAACTCGTGGACCGTGGCAGAGTCACTAGGGCGGGATGTGTGGAGCCTCACTCAAGCAGGAGCCTGTGTCCGGCAATGGCACAAGCCGTGGAAGGTACTACGGCCCCTTGGGGTGGCTCAGTCATCGAGCATCTGCCTTCAGCTCAGGTCATGATCCCAGGGTCCTGGGATCGAGCCCCACATTGGGCTCCCCGCTCAGCAGGACGCCTGCTTCTCCCTCTCCCACTGCCCCTGCTTGTGTCCCCTCTCTCGCTGTGTCTCTCTCTGTCAAATAAATAAATAAAATCTCTGAGAAAAAAAAAAAGGTACCGCAGCCATGAGATCCTGCCACATCCAGCACTGATAACCGGCAGAAGCAGAGGGCATCTGCAGGCCCCAGACCCGTTAGATCCCTTTAAAAGGGAGGGTTTTGCAGCAAATGTCAGACTCTTCAGACAGACCCCCCTAGACAGACAGACCCCCTCAGTCCGACCGCTTCAGAAAGGCAGCTGCTGCCCAAGCCTCGCCCGGCCTCTCCCAGCTGGTCTCCGAACAGGACTGAGACGCGTCCCTGCTTGAACAGAAGCAGCAAGTGCCCAGAGCTGACCAGAGCTGACCGGGGCAAGACCCAGGCCCCCTCTCAGCCGCCGCCCGCAGACGGACTTGGGGTTCGGTTCGTGAACTCCCTGCCCCCTTGTTATCTTGTCTGTGGCGTGCCGTGTAAGCCAAGTCAGTCACACGGTGAAATGTCACTGAGTCTGGAATCCTACACCCGCTTTACGTTACCCTCGCTTCAGGACCCAATAAAGCCTAAAGCCAACACTGCGAAGACACGACTCGTGTGCGCGCCTTCGCAGCGGGCTCAGGGCACCCTCAGAAGTGATTCAGGGGCACCTGGGTGGCTCAGTGAGTTAAGCCTCTGCCTTCGGCTCGGGTCATGGTCTCAGGGTCCTGGGATCGAGCCCCGCATCGGGCTCTCTGCTCAGCGGGGAGCCTGCTTCCCCCTCTCTCTCTGCCTGCCTCTCTGCCTGCTTGTGATCTCTGCCTGTCAAATAAATAAATAAGTAAAATCTTTTTTTTAAAAAGTGATTCAATTGTGACATTTCCTCACAAGAAGCCAACAACATTAACTGCCAACCTTGAGTGTCATCCAGTGACCAGGAAGAGTGGGGATACATCAACTGCTACCAGGGCCATCCAAGTCCACCCAGCCAAACACCTCCCCGTATTTGGTGTGCTAGGTCACCGGACGTTAGGAGGTTCGCCTCACCCTGAAGTACCAAGAGCACACACAGTGGACACAGGCTGTTGAGAGAGACCAAAGACTCGGAAATCCCCAGAACACAGATCTCGGTGTTGAGTCCACGGAATCAGAAACCCTCTTCCCAGGTACCTGCCAGCCCTTTGCTGCCAGGCGAGACCAAAGTCCAGGCACATCCCAGGCAGCTGAGAGATGAGGCCAGGACATACAGCAGAGCAGGGCGGCGGAGTGGGGAGGTGTTCAGCCAACTGGGAGGAAATCCAGCCCATGCATAGGGAGGGAAGGAGGGAAGGACCTTCCGGAGCTTCCTCACCCCAGCTTGGAACAAGAGCTTGGGGAGCTGGGAAAGGGGAAGACGACCATCACAATGATGTGCCCAGTGCTACCCTCTGTGCAGGCTCCTTCCGGCAGTCACTAGCCCCTTAGAGAACCTGGCCTCAAGGCCCCGGAAGTGCACTAGGCAGCAGAGCCAGGAGCAGAGGCCTCTTCTGGGACTCAGGACAACCCCAATCCTGTCCAGGGAGAACACAGGGAAGCAAAGGCACCCTTGAGGGCTCCCTGCTGAGCCAAGACAGGAACTGAGAAGAGCAAAGTGGTGTCCCCACAGCCCGCTCCACCCCCAACTTCAAGATCCAGGAAGGAAAGCACAGCCAGAGTTCCGAGGAGGGACAGCCCTTCTCCAGCGTCCCTAAACTTGGAACGACTCCATACATGCCTCGGTTCTCTGCACCCATGGAGATTAATCCCCCCGCTGCCTCAGCCCCTGCTGCAGGGCCTTGAAGGGCCCCAACCAGTCCTGGACACTCCCCCACAGGCCTGGAGCGCGGGGCCGGGCCCTGGGACGCGCTAGTGCTTCTCACCCTGACCCTGGTCTGCGAGGTGGCGCCCAGGATCCCCACCGGAGGCCACCGGAACCCCGGAGAGGCTCCAGTTTCTGGTCTGGCCTCGCTCCAAAGCCCTCACAAAGCCTGGGCACGTCCCTTCCCCGCCGGCCGGAATCCCCGGCCGCACGTCTCGCGCCGCCGACCCGACCAACAGGTTGCAAAAACGAAGACGAGTCCGCACACAGACCCCGGCGAAAAGCCCTCCGGGCGGCCTTCCCCGCACAGCAGCCACCCGAGAAGCCGCTCCCGACCCGCGGCACCGGGCGCCCAGGTGGGGCCTGCAGGGGACTCGCGCGCCGGCGCCCGCCTCCCCGAGGGCCGGCCGGCCAGGGCTCCCGAGGACGCCGCGCTCGGCCCTGCGCCCCCGCCGCCTCTCCTTCCCCGGCCGGCGTCCTCTCCCGCCGCGGGTCCCGGAAGTCCGCGCCTCACCTTGTGCGGTGCGCACTGCGCCGCAGCGCCGGGAACCCGTACGGTCCACCGCTCCCGCGGCCCCGCGCTCCTCTGGGCGCCGCGGGGGCGGGCCCCGCGCCCGGCTCTCGCCATGGCAACGCTACACTTCCGGCCCGCGGGGCCCAGAGCCGGAAGCCGCGGCGCCCCATGGGAGCCCGGGGGCGGGCCCGATCTTCCAGGGGGCGGGGCCCGCCCCGAGTGGAGGGCTGCCGGCGGCCCGGCGCGAGCCTTTTTGTGGCGGGGGCGTCCTCGACGCGGATGGGTCGGGAGGGGCGAGCATTCAGAGGGTCCCCCCTGGGGAGGGCGGCCGTCTGTGCTGGGCTTCTGAGGCATGGCCGGGGTCCACCCGACAAAGCAGAGTCATCCCGGACGGAGGGAAAAGCGTACCTGAAAGGGGAAGGACCCGGGGCCCAGGGGAAGTAACGGAGGCGGTGGTCGAGGGGGCGGGGAAGAGCGGCCACTTAGGAGTAGCGGGGCTCGGGGAGCCCTGAACGTCAGGCCAAGCAAGGGAGGACCCGTGGAGGGGACGTGATGCCTTAAGACTCGGAGGGAAAGACTTCTGTGCTGATGGAGCGGGGCTGGGAGCCCGTCCGTAGTGGCCGCGCGGTGAGACGCGAGCTCAGCTAGAGCTCCGGGGACGGAGCAAAGGGACACAGGGTCGGAGGAATCCCCAGGACGTCTGAGAGGAGTGTGAGAGTGAAGGGGGCGGTGTGGTGCTCCGCATTACATCATCCACTTTGCCCCAGACTCCCCAGCGCCCCTTCCCTCGGCGCCTCACCACCGGCTGGCTGCGCACTGTGCGCTGCAGGCTTCCAGCTACTCAAGAGTGTAATGTTGCGGGGGGGGGGACCCCAAGAAAAGCTGAATTCTTGGAGTAGAGTGGTACAAAGTGTGTCCCTGGGCTCCTGTGGTTTCCCTTGGGTCTGGGGACGGTGACACCAGCACCAGCCACTACTGCTAGGGTCCTGGGCCCAGTACCCCCTTGGGCAAACTTGCTGGTAAGAGGCAGGGCTGGTCTTCCGGTCATGGTACAGACCATAGGCCTTAACTAACTCAAAATCCTTGACGGATCAGATGGCCAGAGAGAAGGGGAGGAGACAGAATTGGGTCTGGGAATCGAGAGGACCAGTAAGTCTCAGGGCACCTGCCAGAGACACTTTTCTGGCACCACACTTCTGGGACAGGTCCTGTTCCTGCTAAAACCCTCAGAGGTTATAGGCAGGCCTGAGCAGAGAGTGCTCGCCCCTCAGGCCTCCCCAGTCTGAGCCTCCACTCTCTTCCCTATGCCCCTCCTCCACTCAGGCCAACCCCCACCTGCCTGGGGAACGTCTCCTTCTACCTAGAAGGTCCTGTGACTCCTTGGGAACCCTTCCTGTGTACTCACACAACACACCTATGCTCTCACTCCTATCCAGGGAGAAGCCAGGTGGTCCTTGCATGCTCCCCTGGACAGGAACTATGACCCATGAAGCTGTATCCTCAGGGCCTGGCCCCAAGAGGTGTCTAGTAAACCCCTCCAGCTAGGAGACCTCTTCCTCTTCCTACAAACACACACCCAAGAGCACTCCCCAAGTGCCCCAGAAGAACGAGGGATATCCTTCTGGATAACAACATGTAGAGCTCTGGGTCCAATGGACCAAAAGAGAGAAGGGAGGTAAGCCTGCCTCCAAAAAGTCCTCTGGGGCCAGGAAGGGCAAGTGAGGTACACGAGGAGTAAGGAGAGCTGGTCAGCTCCCGCTGTTAACGGGCACCAGGGAGGGGACAAAAGGGACCTCTTAGGCCTCGGGAATCCACTGGGGACCCACAGCAGCCCCTGGGAAAATTACTTGAATCAAATGTGTCCCTAGTTTGTTCCTGAGGTTTCCTCCACCTAGGTCCGAAGACCACCTAGGTCCCGGAAGCTGCTCAGCCTTGAACTCTGGGCAGGCCCCACCCATTCTTGGCAGGTCAACTGTGGGTAAATCAACCCCATCAGCTCTTAAATGGGCGCCTGAAGCCCAGCCCAGCCCAGACAGGATAAAGTAACCATAAGTCACAAGGCCTGTTCCAAAGGCTTTTCCTTCCAGCTTGTAGGGGGTGCTGAAGGCAGCCTAGGGGTGAGGAATGAGGCCTGGGTGGCCGCCGGCAGCCCCCACTGGAATCTTCCCTGCCCCTCCCTTCCAGATTAACTGAAACCTGCTAATTGTGGCAGCCCTTGCATGCTCCCCTCCCCCACCGCCTATTCCTCCCTCCCTCTGCCTCCCTTCCCCTCCCCCTTCCATCCGAATGATAAAGGGTCTGGCCCGCCAGGACCGCGGGCCTCAGGCCCCCAGCCTTTCCTCACCACACTGCCCCATTGCCTTGCCTCCACCGGGCCAGGCCCCTGCCCAGCTTGGGTGCCTACCCTACATGGGGCCCTGCAGCAGCCCACGCCTAGGGCTTCCTGGGTCGGACTCGTCCTCCCAGCCCCCCAAGAGGAGGAAGAAGAGATACCTGCGGCATGACAAGCCACCCTACACCTACTTGGCCATGATTGCCTTGGTGATCCAGGCCGCACCCTCCCGCAGACTGAAGCTGGCCCAGGTGAGAGGGACCCCCATTTCCCCTCACACTAAGGAATCGGACCTTTCGACAGACCCGTCCCCCACCTACTCCTAGGTTCAGACTCCAGCTTCGCTCCCCACCTGGCCCTGACCAGCTGAGCTCAGTGTGGCCAGTTCAGGCCTGGGCACAGGGGAAAGAGCGGAGATGCAGAGGCAGGACCCTTCCTTCGGGGCTTTTTTCCTTCCAGCGTAGACGTATTCTGGATGGTGGGGGCGGGCAAGGCCCCTAAGCCCGGCTGTGGGGGGAGGGGCGGTGCTCCCCCCCACCCACCCACCCACTGCGTCCCGGCTCACGGCGCACCGGGCCAACTGGCCGGTTGGTGGGTGGTTTCAGATCATCCGTCAGGTCCAGGCCGCCTTCCCCTTCTTCAAGGACGACTACGAGGGCTGGAAGGATTCCATCCGCCACAATCTCTCCTCCAACCGATGCTTCCGCAAGGTGGGGTAGGGCGAGGGTCGGAACTGGGGCGGAAATCCTGTGTGTCTGGGGTCGGATGGCCCCACCCAAGCCTCCCCACCCTTTCCAGGTGCCTAAAGATCCGGCCAAGCCGCAGGCCAAGGGCAACTTCTGGGCAGTCGACGTGAGCTTGATACCGGCTGAAGCGCTGCGGCTGCAGAACACCGCCCTTTGCCGGCGCTGGCAGAGCAGGGGCGCGCGGGGAGCCTTCGCCAAGGACCTGGGCCCCTACGTGTTGCACGGCTGGCCCTACCGGCCGCCCAGTCCCCAGCTGCCGCCCAGTCCCCAGCTGCCACCCAGTCCCCAGCCACCACCCAGTGAGGGCTTCAGCATAAAGTGTTTGCTAGGCGATACCAGGGAGGGGGCACCACGAAGCAGCCCAGGTCTTGCAGGCTCTGGGCACAGTGGGGAGGTGATGCCCACTCCACCCCTGCCCTCTGAGAGGCCTCTGTGGCCCCTCTGCCCCGTTCCCGGGCCCAGGAGAGCAGATGCGGAGACTTCCCAGGGGGGAACCAGCAGGCCCTCGCCCCTCTCCCCTGAGCACAGAGCCTGGCCCCTCCACTTACTGCAGGGTTCTCCAGAGCCTGGGGCGCTGTCCGCTGGGAGTCACAGGGCCTCACTTTGGGGGCAGCTGCCCACCTCTTACTTGCCCATCTACACTCCCAATGTGGTGATGCCCTTGGCTCCACTACCACCCACATCCTGTCCCCAGTGTCCACCTTCAACCAGCTCAGCCTATTGGGGGGTGGCCCCTGAAAGTCAGGGTCCCCCAGGGCTGCTCTGGGATCTAGATGCCCTCTTCCAGGGGGTACCACCCAACAAGAGCATCTATGATGTGTGGGTTAGCCACTCCCGGGCCCCAGCTGCCTCCACCCCAGGCTGGCTACTCTCCTGGTACAGCCTGGGAGGCTCCTAGGGCACGGGAGCTTTCCTCTCCTTGCCCTTCCTGCCACCACTGGCGCGTTGGGGAACCAAGGCCAGGAGGTCCAAAAGGAGTTGGTGGCCAGGGCAGCCTGAAGCATCAGGCACCAGCGGTACTGAGAATCCATGCTGTTTATTGGACTGCCCCCCAAAGGGCTGTGATCTAGCGGGGCACCACCCTGGCTGGCCCTGATGGTCGTCGTGCCTCCCTTACCCCCAGAGACAAGACTGGAAAGAGTGGGGGCTTTGCTTGCAGCCCTTCCTGATCCCACTTTCTCTGTCCATCTATCCTTCTTTCTACCCATCCATCACCATGTGTCACTTCCCCTCCCTGGCTCCAGGCTGGGGGGAGGGAGGACCTAAATCTCAGCTCCAGCCTAAAGTCCTGTCCTCCCTCATCTGCCTGGGAATGAGGTAGCAGCACCTTTTTTGGGAAAAGGAAATCAAAATCCTACTTGGTTTTGGTGGTGGTCGTGGGGAATATAACAGTAAAGGAGTACACAACACTTTAATGCCAAGTCTGATTTTTGGTGATAGGGTGGTGATTGGGCTAACCACTTGGCAGGGTCCACCTCCCGCAGGTCTGGCATCCCCCGCTGTGTGCCGCGATAACAGCAAATGGTGATAAGGAGGGAGCGGAGGGCCTGGGGGAGGGAGGGTCAGACCTGTCGCTGCGCTAAGTACTCCTCACTCATGGGGCAAGGGAACCAACTGGGCGGGGAGAGGGGGGCTCCCAGAGATCAAGGAGGTTCTGAGGGTGTAGGAGCTCTGCCGGCAGAGGCGCGAGTCCAGGCTAGGAGGACACGTTCTTTTGGGTCCCGAGAGCCGAGCCGGAGTCGCTCTCCGCGCCAGGACTCGGAGGGCTGCCGGGGGACGGCGTGGGCGTGCAGGGGGTCCCGGTGAGGGGCGTGTCGGTGCTGAGGGAGGAGGGCGTCCCAGAGCGCGGGGCCCTGCAGCGCCGGGCGGGCCCCAGCTCCACTCGGCCCACGCGCTCGGCGAACTTCAGCGAGCACACGGTCTCACCCAGGTCCTCGGGCCGCGTGGAGATCTGCGGGGGAGCGGCGCTGGTGGGCGGGCCCCGAGCGGGCGGGGGCTGTGCGACCCGTCCCCCGCCCCGCCGCCGCCACCGCCCACCTGCAGCAGCAGCACCGCGGTGGCGCCGGGTCCCAGCGCCGGCTGCAGCAGGCGCGTGAGCTGCGAGTCGCGGAAGGGCACGTGTGGCCGGCGGGCCCGCAGCGCGGCCATCACGCCCCCCAGGGCCAGCAGCGAGCGATTGATGGTCCGGGCCTCCCGCAGACGCTGGGCGCTGTCTCGGTCTCCCCGCGACGGGCCGGCTGCCCCCGCCTTCCAGGCACGCTCGGATCCCGCCAGGTCCACCAGATGCAGGGTGCCTGCGGGGGCGAGCGAGCCCGACGTGGAGGGATCCCTGGTCTCGGGTGCTGCGAGCCCCCACGACCCGCGGGGCTCGGGTGCGCGCCTCGGTACCTGCGGTGCCTGGCCCGCGCGGTGGGGACGCCGCGCGCAAAGTCAGCGTGACCAAAGCATGCGACCGAGAGCTGTGCCGGTTCTTGGTGGTGGCGGCAGTGGCCCGGTTGCTCCTCCCCAGGCTCAGCATCTGGAGGGCGGAGCGATAGGACCTGCCGGCTGCAGGGTCTGCGTCCCTAGGTGGGAGCACAGGCGGGGCCTCGGAGGGCTGCTGGGAGGTGGGAGGGGGCGGGGGTGCGTTGCCACTGGGCAGCCTTACCTGGTGCAGCGTCTCCAGGTTGGGCACATCCCAGTAGGTGAGGCCAGCCACCTGAATGCCCCCCTGGCCTGCTGGGCCCTGCCTCACGGCCAGCCGCTCAGGAGGCCCTGGGGCTAGGAGATCCCTGGTGAGAAAGGGAAGGGCTTGGTTTCTGAGGTTCCCACGGGAACTGAAGAGCACAAGTGAGAATAAGGTGCTGTAGCATGGCTCTGACCTGACGGCCTCATTGTAGATCTCCACCATGCTGAGAGTCACACGATGTTGCCCACCGGTCCCCATCTCCTGGAACAGCGACTGCAGTGCCCTAGGAGCTATGCCAGGGTCCTCAGGTGGGCCCTGGGACAGGGTGGGGCACCACATCAGACTCACATCCCAGCCCCTGGTCCCAGAAGCCACCCAGGGTCTCCCCTTCCCACCTCCATACTGTAGGTCTTGCCTGTCCCCGTCTGACCGTAGGTGAAAATGCACACACTGTAGCCATGGAGGCAGGACAGCACAGCTGGTTCCAGCTCCCTGAAGACCTAGGGGTGGGAGGGGTGGGGGGGTCCTAAGCCCCAGAACCAAGACACAGAGCGAACGAACGAAGCTTGATTTCCCCCTGGGAGGATGGCTCTGGGGGCACGGTGGAAGGGTGGCTCTCCCCAAAAATTAAGAAGGCTCCCTGGAGGAGGTGGCATTTGCAAGAATTTGCCAGGCAAAGACAGGAAGAATGCGACAGAAAAAAAGAGCAAGCAACGTGGAGCACTGGGATTCCGAGGGCCACTTGGGAGGCCCAGGGGAGCAGCAGTCAAGGACCCAAATGCTGGGCTTATCTGCCAGGTTCAAACTCCAGGTGTGATGGGAAGCAGAGTGCATGGCATCCTTCTGGGCTAAGGTTTTTGCTCGGTGAGGTGATAAGTACAGTGCCACCTGTCGCAAGGGTTCAAGGGGAGCGTGCACCTGAGGACTGGAGCAGTACTCGGTGCATAACGGGTGAGCCCGAAAGGGCTCCCCAGCTGTGTGGGATGGTGGTTTGCCAAGCTCACTGGGACCCTGGCCTGAGAGGGTCCACGGAGAGGCTGCTGAAGAGGAGGTGGCACTGGGACCCCGGTCCTGTTGGCCACCAGACCCAGCAGCAGCCTTTTGAGCAACAACATGGCCGGCTCTTGTGCCCAGAAGGTGGCTGGTACCCGAGAAGCCTGCAAGTTCTACTCAGCGTGTTCATGGCTGGCAAGGAGGGCAGAACCCAGAAAAGCCAGTGAGGTCACTAAGACCGTGAACAGAAGGAAGCGCTGCGGGTGACTGATAGGGGGACTCTGTGCTCTGGCACGGATGGGAAGCACAAGTGAGCGGGCTCAGTGAAATACGCCTTTGGCTCCTTCATTCAGACACAGTGAATTGGAGGGCCCTGTCCAGAGGACTGCCCGGAGGACAGCAGCCTGCACAGGGCTGAAGTTTGGGATGCAGGCTGAGACCAGGGGCGGCATGTGAGATAGAGAGAGAGGATGAAAAACAGCTGTGGTGCTCCAGGAAGTGGGGGAGGGTGCCCTGGCCATCTGCCAGACCCTCTCCTCACACTGTGTCCCTGCGAGGCCAACACAGGTCTGCTTGCTCCCTCCCTTATGCGATCGCCTCTGGTTCCTGAACTCTGGAGAAGTTCTAATGGCAAATTCTATGTGGACAGTGACAGGGAGTGTATGAAGCAAGGTGGTGAGCGGTGGGCAGGAAAGGGGAGGAGGGAAGGAGAACGGATCTGTAGCGGGTCTGTAGCAGGCAGCCAGAGAGCACTGAGGCTGCCCAACTGCCTCCTGCCTGCCCTCACAGCCGCCTGCTCCACCAAGGCCCGGAGAGTAAGCAGCCAGCAAGCCTGGGTGGAGGAGGTTACAGCCCTGTCCCCATCACAGCAGCACCCGAGCCACGCTCAGCAGCCAGCTCCCTGAGCAGTGGCCATCATCTCAGACAAGATCATTTTGCTTAGTTTCCTGGTTAAAAAAAAAAAAAATTGCTTTTTAAAATGTTAACCTTTCTGTTAAACCAGAAGGCTTATTTCCACCGGAACTGCAGAGCTTGGTCAAATGATGCAAAGAGAAAATTCCAGAAGGAAAGGAGATGGCCAGCTAGGCTCTCATTCCTGCCTCCCAGAACCTCCTGCTCCCTTCCCTTCAATGGCTGGAGTTCAGCCACTGGGAAGGCAAATGAAGGGGAACCCAGAGCCTCTTCTCACTCAGGGGCAGTAGGAGGGAAGGGCAGCCCAGACGGAGGGCAGAGCATCACCTCCTCCTGGCTGGCCTCTGGAGAGAAGACCCAGTCCAGGCGGAAGCGACGCTGGCGCCCTCGATAGCAGGTGGTGACGGTGCCACTGGGGCCAGGCTCCGAGCTCACCAGGCTGGAGGGTGTCCCTGGCCTCAACCGACACAGCACACGGATATTTCCTGGGATGGAGATCACATCAGTGGTCTGCCTCCCAGGCCCTAAAGCATGGGGAGGCCCCCCTTCCTCCACTGTCCAAGCCTGCCATACCCTTGAGCTCCAGCAGCCGCCCCGGGCATCCAGTCGGGGGCCCCCGCTGCTCCTCAGGGAGCTGAGTCCCACCCCTGCCAGCTGATAGTGCTCCCAGGGCCCAGGATACCTGGCGGAATAGGGATGTGAGGAAGGGGGCGTAGTCGAGGCGAGGTGGGTGGGGGTGCTAAGAACATAACTTTCAGTGGCTCTGGGCCCCTACGGGGACCATTCTGTGGGCCCAGGATGGAGACCCAGGACCTGAGGACAACAAGGGAGAAAGACACCTGTCTCCTATGGGGTTGGCAACCCTGTGAGGGCTTTACTGTTACCCCAGTTTGCACGACAGAAATGAGACCGAGAAATGAGATCACACCCAGGGTGTGTGAGATCACAAGCTGTTCTGATTCCAGCGCCTACCACCCCCCTTACAGAGGGCAGCCCCCCCGAGGTGGGGAGAAAGAATAAGGGGTTCCCCATGGGCAAACAGTCACCAGGCTACCCAGAGAGCGAGTTCCAGAGAGGGGGCAGATGGTCCTGACCTGACCCCGGGCTTCACTGAGCGAACACTGGCAGCTCTGGGTAAATGTGCTGACCAGTCCTCGGAGGTCCCCACAGCCCTGGCGCAGGCTAGCCATCCGTGCCCGGAGTCCTGGCAGGGAGAGTTTGTTGTGAGGGAGAGCCCGGACCCTCTGGCTTTCCCGTGAGCCCTTGGTCTCCGCCCTTACCTGCCAGCTGCCCGTGCATCTGCTGCAGCTCCCTTCGACAGTTCT